AGCATCCTGCTCTTGCCTCATCATAGTGTAATCAAGGATTTTGATTTTGCATAATTCAAGATATTTGATGTTAGAAATTTTGTGCCTCAGATTTACAGTATACATTTGAATGGGAGAGGCAACATGTTTCACGGGCATTGGCAAGGTGTATGAACATCCAACTAGGGTCACGAAAGCATGAACTGAGCTGAGTGTACGTGTTCTATCAAGCATGATTCAAAGCTCATGGCCCTGCTTTGAAGCGCGGTTCGTTCGGAACCTTGCAACCTGCATGCTGTGGACTGATATGATGTTCAGAACTCTAGAGTGTTGTAGACAGTAGCAGCTTCGCATGCAGCGAGTAGCAATACTCTGTAACACGATTGTTCTCGGTCAAGGCATCAACAGACGGTACGCATTTCATTAAGCATGATTTGGAATTAGTTTACTTGCAAGAGAACTCCTGTGCACATGACTCTGCAACTGCGCTGGAAAGTTGCATGCAGATCTCAGCATGATGTGACGCAGAAAAGCTCACTCCATACAGGTTGTCAACTCTCACGATGTAAGGATATGAAGTCAAGCTATGTATGCAACATTGAGATACGTTGCTTCAGAAGTGATCCACTGTCATGATTTGTCATGAATTCATTCAAATCGTCTTTTCTCCACATGTTGAGCACCAACAGCAAGTATTCGATACACTTAGATCATCCCTACATAATTTTCTTTTGTCGTAAAACTTGTCTGCTGTCGATATCGTCACGAGCATGTAATATCTTACATGTGTTCATTGTTCTGCTAGGAAGGAAGGTGCCAAGGAAAAAAATGCTGTGTTGCTTGTTCATGTGGATGCACGATGCTTACCTGATACACAAACATTAGAAGATCAATCTTCACTTGATCTCAGCTCACCGTGATTCGTGATGGGATCTGTTTTTGAGAAACAGATTGCCGCTAACAGTTTGCACGTCTTCAACAATGTTGTTCAAGCTGGAATTGGGGTTCTAAACAATCTAGACAATATAACGTCTGTCATCAACCTGTATGTGGAGTAGCAATGCCAACCTGAGTGCATCACCACATGTAATATGTGCAAGTGCAGCGTTGAAAAGGGCAGAGCTTTGGGCATCCTGATCCATGCACGATGACTGCTCGCCGGGAAGCAGGATCTGTCACTAAAGTATCAGAGTTGCACAGTGAGCATGCATACCACTCAAACCCACCATCTTTGATTCTCATGTTTGACCTTTGTCACCATGTTGGTCTTGGCATCTTTCAGTAGCCTGATGGTCGCTGGATGGGCAACATTCATCATGCATCGAGAGGGAGGGATGGGTTGGGGATTCCTTACCACCCACCCCCTGATCCCAAGATTGAGTGCCGTATCGACCACCCTCCTGTTTTAGGGAATTATGACACATGAGCAAGGGTGGGTACCTTACGTTAAAGTTCAAATTTTGAATACACGCCTCTGACCAGGGGTTATGCCTCCTGTATCCAACAGAGAAAAGCATGGGTGGGTCGATAGGATTTTCGGTACTATTCTTGTACCACGAAGGCGTGTAGAATTGATTTTATTGTCGTCATGCAGTACAGTTTGAATCTAAGAATAGCACGCCGCCGATACAAATTTCTGCATGCAAATACTTGGAATAAAAGGTTCACAACCTACCCTTGCCCCAGCCAAGTCGCCCACCCGACCTACTCTTTTCCCATGGGAGAGTGAGGGTGGGGTCTACTCCAGGCAAGGGCTGAAGACCCCCAGGCGCCATCAGGGGGGGAAGGACTGGTACAAATTGCAATTAGAGCCGTGTCCATGATTAGTACCAGAAGGACAGGATCGAGAATTAACTAAAGCTATAAGCGAACGTAATGCGGCTGACAGGCTCACCTGACCGGTCACGTGACACATCACGTGACCGAGACAAGACTTTTTTATATCGCAGATCCAAAAACCCATAGGACATTTCTCCCAGGGGGAAGAAAACCTCCCTTGACCCCCCTGTTTCTCGACGGATCCTGCCGGCCGGGCCCGTCAGTAGACCGACTGCAGCCTTCAGCCCCGCCTCAGACCCCCTGGAGGCCCGCCAGGAGGCTAAGTCAGTCCGGAGATTGGCCGGGGGCCTGATCTCTCCGGGCGGCCGTGACCGGTCAGCGGACCGTGTCAGCAGGCCCGTGACATGTCAGCCGGCTGACAGGGGCCGTGACCCGGCTGACAGGCTCACCTGACCGGTCACGTGACACATCACGTGACCGAGACAAGACTTTTTTATATCGCAGATCCAAAAACCCATAGGACATGCTCCCAGGGGGAAGAAAACCTCCCTTGACCCCCCTGTTTCTCGACGGATCCTGCCGGCCGGGCCCGTCAGTAGACCGACTGCAGCCTTCAGCCCCGCCTCAGACCCCCTGGAGGCCCGCCAGGAGGCTAAGTGTCCGGAGATTGGCCGGGGGCCTGATCTCTCCGGGCGGCCGTGACCGGTCAGCGGACCGTGTCAGCAGGCCCGTGACATGTCAGCCGGCTGACAGGGGCCGTGACCCGGCTGACAGGCTCACCTGACCGGTCACGTGACACATCACGTGACCGAGACAAGACTTTTTTATATCGCAGATCCAAAACCCATAGGACATTTCTCCCAGGGGGAAGAAAACCTCCCTTGACCCCCCTGTTTCTCGACGGATCCTGCCGGCCGGGCCCGTCAGTAGACCGACTGCAGCCTTCAGCCCCGCCTCAGACCCCCTGGAGGCCCGCCAGGAGGCTAAGTGTCCGGAGATTGGCCGGGGGCCTGATCTCTCCGGGCGGCCGTGACCGGTCAGCGGACCGTGTCAGCAGGCCCGTGACATGTCAGCCGGCTGACAGGGGCCGTGACCCGGCTGACAGGCTCACCTGACCGGTCACGTGACACATCACGTGACCGAGACAAGACTTTTTTATATCGCAGATCCAAAAACCCATAGGACATTTCTCCCAGGGGGAAGAAAACCTCCCTTGACCCCCCTGTTTCTCGACCGATCCTGCCGGCCGGGCCCGTCAGTAGACCGACTGCAGCCTTCAGCCCCGCCTCAGACCCCCTGGAGGCCCGCCAGGAGGCTAAGTGTCCGGAGATTGGCCGGGGGCCTGATCTCTCCGGGCGGCCGTGACCGGTCAGCGGACCGTGTCAGCAGGCCCGTGACATGTCAGCCGGCTGACAGGGGCCGTGACCCGGCTGACAGGCTCACCTGACCGGTCACGTGACACATCACGTGACCGAGACAAGACTTTTTTATATCGCAGATCCAAAAACCCATAGGACATTTCTCCCAGGGGGAAGAAAACCTCCCTTGACCCCCCTGTTTCTCGACCGATCCTGCCGGCCGGGCCCGTCAGTAGACCGACTGCAGCCTTCAGCCCCGCCTCAGACCCCCTGGAGGCCCGCCAGGAGGCTAAGTGTCCGGAGATTGGCCGGGGGCCTGATCTCTCCGGGCGGCCGTGACCCATAGCGTTGTCGCTCTCAACTGACCCCTCTGGTTTTCAATAGTTTTCTGTGGGGGTATCCTTCCACATATGTGAATAGCAAATGGCAGTTGGGGTCTGGGGTGGGTCAGACGGCTGGGAGCTGATTCAAATTTGTTGGGACCTGTTTGAGGGGGTAGGGTACTTCCTGGTAGAAAATATCTGTACCAACGGTACAATTGTGGTGGTACTATTTGAAGTACCACAGGAAAACTTGTACCACAACGGCTTATGGTCTACATTTCAAAGTTCAAACATCAATGCTTTGGACCCACCTCTTTCCCTGAGCTAGCGGGGTCTCGGACGGGGTCAAATTAGCATGGACCCTACCCTCTCGGAGGTATGTGAATCACTTCAAGTCACAGACTGGAGAAGAAAAGGCCACTCTCTTCCCTCCTCCCTGCATTTGCAATGCGCAGACGTGATGCATCAGCTGCAGGAGAGCTTAGGCGAAGACAAAGAGAGGCAAGAATACGAGAATCTGCTGATGAGCGTCTTGAAAACAAGCAGCCTCCGCCCCAACTCACGATCCCACTGCAAATATGTCAGACCCAGAGGCCCCATTCTCGAGCTGTGGAGGACTCGGACGATCACCGGTTCGCTGCAGGGACCGCTGTGATCTTTCGAGATATTGACTCACATGAGCAACTAGGGATCATCAAGCATGTCAAGGAAGAGACATGTACTATCGTGTGGTTGTATAGGAAAACTTTGCTGCAAAGAGTCAGTCATGAGGGCGGGCTTAACAATTCTCATCAATTTACAAAATATGTGGATGGTCTCGGCGAAAACCAGTGCCTTCAATCTATCTATACTGATGAGGTGCCACATGAAGACATCCTTGAGCAGGCTTGTATAGAATTTCCACAATTTTCTGCTCCAACTACTTTACGGTTGACGCCTCGCACTGGAAATACCTACCCGCGAGAGAATGCAGCAGAAAGAATAGATGCATTTCGTAAAGAATACGATATACCAAGGTCGGGCCAACTTTTCTTCGTCATTGGTTGGATCATGTTTATTGAAAACAATCGGAGGCGAGAATCTGTACGGTGGGGGAATTTCAGACCTTGTCTTGCCTCAGAAGTTTTACGAACGCCATGTGCGACAACAATCTGGGTATCAATAGAGAGGGAAATGTTTACTTGGCTTGCATACAGATCAGCGCTGGGGTATCCTTCCAGCGTGAGAAAACGTGGATTTGAAGTCAAAAATGTCAGCGTGCGACAAATTATTGAGGACTTGCCGCTTGCTTTTCAGAGACAAGTCGAATGCAAGCGTAAGAATGGGATGCACTATTGTTGGATTCTGCCTGAAACAGTTGGGAGGCAGGAGATGTTCAAACGAAATTATCTTGCAATCCCAACAATTGATGCACCTCTTGTAATTCGCGAGTCAGGTGTTGCCATTTACATCAAATTTCCTATTTTTTTTGTTGTCAAGAGTGAAAGCTTATTCATTGAGGTGATGAAAGTTGTTGATGAATATTACATCATAAGCTGACATGGACTTCATCCCTTGTAGGTCAACAGACTTGTACTGTTAGGCGCATCAAGAGAAGAAATTTGGACTTATCCTCCTGAATAACACGGTAGTAGGTTTATAACATAGCGTGTTCAATGAGTTGTACAGTACTAAAGGTCAAGAGCCATGATGCCGACATGTACAGACAGGTTGCATGTTTCGGCACAGCATACATATGTTCTTGAAGGAGCCTGCAGCCTGATAGATCATAGTACTGGCTAATCTCTTCTGGTCAGACGACATTTCCTGGCCATTTGGTTCCTGCTCCCTGCCTCGCTTTGAGCCACATGCTGCCGTTGCCCCTTGGTGATACGATGGTTTAGAAACTTCCTACACAAATGCTCAATGTTTTAGAAATGATGAAGCAGTGTAAGTCTGAACTCACCAAATGCCTCTTCTCCATCGCGCTCATGTTCAGAAGACCAAGAGGAATCTTCTTTTCTGCAAATTTTTTGAATTGATCTGTAACATGTCCAACCGCAAGGAAATGTAGGTAGATCCCTCTGCAGTATTCCAGTCTGTCTGTAAGAAGGACATATCTTGCCAAGAAATCATTACATCGCATAGCAAAAGAATCAATTTCTGTTTGACTCATTTTCTTAATGTCCGTCTGAAGAACACTTGAGACTATTGATGCCCATTTTTCACAGAGATCTTTCCACAAGTCAGCATTTTTGGCCCGGGCAGCAACTATCAAGTCAGGAAATGCCTTGAGGAACCTTTTGGTACTTTCACCGATCAATTGAGGCATATCATGCATTGCAAACGATCTTGAATCTTTGACGTGAATATTGATTTCTGCCAGCATTCTCTGCACAACAGGAAACGTTTTGTTTTCTTTCGCGGTGTTGCATACATACAAGACAAATGCAATCGATACACGAAACACCATGTGCATGGAGCAGATCACAACGTTCTCCACATCGATGCCCAGACTGTCCAGATTGTCATATTGTTCCAAGTTCAAAACGTTGCCATCTACCTTGCGAAGTCCATTCACCATTGCAAAAGTATCCTGGTGCATTTGAAATCTTGTCGGAATATCATCCCATGCAATATCTGAATCAACAACCACCAATTCATAATAAATATGTCTTTGACAAGAAGGTTGATCACAGAGGAAACATGCCCCAATTGGATCATGGAGTCCCCCATGATTCATTATCTTCCAGCTCCCACTCATGTCGCTCCGAATCACTCCGATCACATGAATAATTCTGTGCGGAACTTCACCGTTCCGGCTGCGCTGTCTCCCAAATTTCGCTCTGCCTTCAAAAATATGAATTCCAGGTGTAATCTCGCCGTCTGATCCTTTCAAGAACACGGCAAGAAAAGGTGCATAGACTTTGATAAAATTTGCATCGATATTTTCAATCGTGTCGTGACCGTCGATCACACAGAAGGAATACTGGCGTTTCGCTTTCGTCAACATACTAGGGTCCGTGATATCCTCCGTCGGTGAGAGTATTGCACAGAAGTATACCTGATATTTACCAGTTTGAGTTATTCTACAACCGTCGAAAATAATATGTAAATATAGGTTTTCTGCATCTTTGAAAACTTCTGCATTGTCGTCGTGTATCAATTCTACTGTCCTTTCTAAGTCCAACCCACTTCCATTCTCCATCAGAAACACACCAAGTTCGTCTTCAATCATGCGCTTATATTCTCGGTTTCTCGCGCAAAGTGCTTTGACACTCGGACACATCGAGCGGCCCAAAGCGTGACAAACTTTGTCGAACTTTCGAATAGGCACTCCACTGGATATGATCGATTTGCTAACATCTTCCATATGATTCACAAGAGAGGTTTTGCACACGTGAACAAAGATTCGTTTTATACTCGCGTTGTTGTCAAAAGTCTCTCTTAGTTTTGTTTTCAACTCTTCACGCCCAAGAAATCCCTTGCAGAACGAATGAAAATTGAACAATCTCTTTTGTCCAAGACGTCTGCCGTAAGTCAATTGCGCTAGTGCATAATAGAAAAGCTCATCCTTATGTTCTTCAGAGCATGGGAGATAGTTTATTTCTGTGACTTCTTTTGTGAGGTTGGCAAACCGTTCAAAGTACGGTTTCAATTCTTCTACCCAAATGTTGCATTGCTCCTCTGACTTGATCACTTCCCTGAAGTCAATAGTAGATGCAGAGCGTGGCCTTGGAGGAGAGGATTCATTAGCAGCTTTCAAGTTCTTGACTTCCTGTTGAAGTACTTTAATCTGGTGCTCGAGACTTGCAATTTTTGCCTTGAGCTCTTCATTCTTTTCGGCATGTATAGCAGATATGGCCAAACTTTTGCCCAGCACAGATTTTCTCCAAAAATCGTTATGATTGGCACCCATGTCGTTGAGTAATCTAATCACGTCTGGACTCTTACTATCCTTGTCAAAGTAGCCTTCCAGAGCTGCCCTTGTCTGAAATCCCAGAATTGCTTGGGCATCCAATGGAAAGTGATCACCGTGTAATACAGGAGTCGCACTTAAAGCCCACTTGTATGCTTGCGGTGCGAAAATGTAGGGAGGGGGTCCATGCCCTGGCCCTGTGGCGGCAATGAACGCATCATACCTATAACATACACATCAATCTACCCAGAAAATTTTCAGATGAAGAAGAGTACCACGTTGAACCAGGGACCTTGGGTGATGACAACAGGTCGAGATCCTTGAAGTTGATGATGGGAGCATTGCGGGCAGGAGATGTCGTGATCTGTCGCTGTGGGGGCAGCATGATGATCAATTGGCGGGAAAATTTCAATAGAATGTTTTGAATATTTGAACATTAATAAATAATATTGAAATTAAAGGATAAACTTTCGGAATTTTGAAAACCCCTTCGGAAAATTTGAAAGGACTAATCTCCTCATCCCCACTCAAACCATGGAAGTGGAAAAATCAAGCCCGCCCCGGGAAATTTACCCAATTACCTGGAAAGGCATCCACCTGTTCAATAAGTATTCAATAGAGCGGAGCCCACCTGTTCGTTTGTTTGTTTGTCTGTTTGTCAACCTGTTGACCCTATGGACTGTTGACCCATGATTGTTGGTTTGATTGTTTGTCCTCGTACTGCTTTTTGCTTTGTTTGTTTGTTTGTCCCACCCCTACTGATCCTTCCTCTACGACAGAAGGAACAACAAGTACTTGCTTGTGGACTTTGGGCTGGCAGAGAAGATATTTCCAAAGGACACTGTCAATCGAGTTCATCACGCCGCAGCACAAAGTCAGGGTCAATGAGCAAGAGTTTCCCAGTAACGAAGAGCAACGGCTACAGCTTGCCCTCTGATGATTCTACGGCCAGCTCTCGCTCCTTCCGGATGTTATTAAAGATTTCAAGCTCAAAGTTGAGGTAAAATTGTTGTCGTTGTCGTTGTCGTTGTCGTTGTCGTTGTCAAGTTCTATTATCCTGAGGATGAGAATGAGGGTGATATGGAGGCGAAAAGCCTGAGGTTGCTAACTTGATGCCATTCAGTTCGGACCATTGGAAGAGCATCTCAGCTATGCCCGCGGTTTGAAGCAAACATGGCGGACCTTGTCAAGCTCCCTGAGCGCGGATGCGGGATGCAAGGGCAGGAGAAACATGCGATCTGGGACTTCCTCAACCGCTGCCTCGACATCTATCTCCGCACGAGGATGACAGCACAGGAGGCTCTGAAACATCCCTTTATCGCTAGTGGTATCAAGTAAGCCGTCTCTACCCGAAGCTTTCTCCTTTCTCTCGTCGCCTTCCTCCCTTCCTCGGTAGTGGTCTTGAGTAAACCGTCTCTCCTCTGGCATCTACTCTCTCGCGATCAGCATATCAATACCTCCCAGGCTCACCTTTCCCTTCCCGGCTTCTCCTCCCCTCCCCTAGTCCGAGAGCAACTCACACAAAAGGAGAGGACGATGAATGGTAGAGGAGCAGGAGTCCAAGAGAAGAGAAGGTTCGTGGAGGGCAGGAGGGGATCAGGCGGAGGAGAGCGTCTGCAAACATGTATCTTTTTCATGGCCTTTTATGTGCTCAACTTAAGAATTGCTAAAAAAGTGTATCAAAGCAGATTTGATCGTGTGGATGGACACAGAATATAGATAAACTCGAAGTTCTGTCTGAAAAATGACACTTTCCAAGCAATGATCGATCCAAAGCAAGTTCTTGATGCTGTGTCAATGAGAAGTAAAATGACAGTCATTTACCAATGCAATACTACTTGTATCTATGAGGTTGAAACATGAACGTCTTAGTTGCACTCCATGTATCATTTTTCCTCCCGCATTCAAACCGAGAAACACAGTGCTAGTCAAGTCATGCGCATGGTTTCAGAGTTTGAGTTTCCAGCATGTTGGGGAAGGACAAGGCAGACAGAAGCGTCAAAGAAAGTTGAGGGTCATCAGGGAAGGTGTGACAAGAGTCTGAGCTTCATGAACAGGGAAGGACAGGGATGCGCAAGTGTTGAGGGGAGGGAGATGGGGAGGGAGACCCCCTCTGCTAAATGTATTTTATAAGGTACCCATTACAGTACCAGACCAATACCTCTACCCCCCACCCCCCTGTCGCGTCCGTTTGGTTCGAATCATTTGAAATACTACCACGCCTACCCATCAGGTTCTGGTACGAATCATTACTCCACTATACAAGCGCTATGTGACCCTATCCAAAGACAAATAGGAACGATTGTTTACTTATCTGAGCTCTCAATTACCCCTGGTTGCCGTTGAACGTGCAGGCTGGAAATGGATTTTCAAACCTTCCAATCCTTGGATTTTTTACTCACACACAATTTTGTACTGGAAAACGCCTGGATCTGGTACAAATCCCAATTGTCAGCAAGTTCCTTGACCCGACAACGCTATGCCGGTCAGCGGACCGTGTCAGCAGGCCCGTGACATGTCAGCCGGCTGACAGGGGCCGTGACCCGGCTGACAGGCTCACCTGACCGGTCACGTGACACATCACGTGACCGAGACAAGACTTTTTTATATCGCAGATCCAAAAACCCATAGGACATTTCTCCCAGGGGGAAGAAAACCTCCCTTGACCCCCCTGTTTCTCGACCGATCCTGCCGGCCGGGCCCGTCAGTAGACCGACTGCAGCCTTCAGCCCCGCCTCAGACCCCCTGGAGGCCCGCCAGGAGGCTAAGTGTCCGGAGATTGGCCGGGGGCCTGATCTCTCCGGGCGGCCGTGACCGGTCAGCGGACCGTGTCAGCAGGCCCGTGACATGTCAGCCGGCTGACAGGGGCCGTGACCCGGCTGACAGGCTCACCTGACCGGTCACGTGACACATCACGTGACCGAGACAAGACTTTTTTATATCGCAGATCCAAAAACCCATAGGACATTCTCCCAGGGGGAAGAAAACCTCCCCTTGACCCCCCCTGTTTCTCGACGGATCCTGTCGGCCGGGCCCGTCAGTAAGAACGACTGCAGCCTTCAGCCCCGCCTCTAACCCCCTGGAGGCCCGCCAGGAGGCTAAGTGTCCGGAGATTGGCCGGGGGCCTTGATCTCTCCGGGCGGCCGTGACCGGTCAGCGGACCGTGTCAGCAGGCCCGTGACATGTCAGCCGGCTGACAGGGGCCGTGACCCGGCTGACAGGCTCACCTGACCGGTCACGTGACACATCACGTGACCGAGACAAGACTTTTTTATATCGCAGATCCAAAAACCCATAGGACATTTCTCCCAGGGGGAAGAAAACCTCCCTTGACCCCCCTGTTTCTCGACGGATCCTGCCGGCCGGGCCCGTCAGTAGACCGACTGCAGCCTTCAGCCCCGCCTCAGACCCCCTGGAGGCCCGCCAGGAGGCTAAGTGTCCGGAGATTGGCCGGGGGCCTGATCTCTCCGGGCGGCCGTGACCGGTCAGCGGACCGTGTCAGCAGGCCCGTGACATGTCAGCCGGCTGACAGGGTCCGTGACCCGGCTGACAGGCTCACCTGACCGGTCACGTGACACATCACGTGACCGAGACAAGACTTTTTTATATCGCAGATCCAAAAACCCATAGGACATTTCTCCCAGGGGGAAGAAAACCTCCCTTGACCCCCCTGTTTCTCGACAGATCCTGCCGGCCGGGCCCGTCAGTAGACCGACTGCAGCCTTCAGCCCCGCCTCAGACCCCCTGGAGGCCCGCCAGGAGGCTAAGTGTCCGGAGATTGGCCGGGGGCCTGATCTCTCCGGGCGGCCGTGACCGGTCAGCGGACCGTGTCAGCAGGCCCGTGACATGTCAGCCGGCTGACAGGGGCCGTGACCCGGCTGACAGGCTCACCTGACCGGTCACGTGACACATCACGTGACCGAGACAAGACTTTTTTATATCGCAGATCCAAAAACCCATAGGACATTTCTCCCAGGGGGAAGAAAACCTCCCTTGACCCCCCTGTTTCTCGACGGATCCTGCCGGCCGGGCCCGTCAGTAGACCGACTGCAGCCTTCAGCCCCGCCTCAGACCCCCTGGAGGCCCGCCAGGAGGCTAAGTGTCCGGAGATTGGCCGGGGGCCTGATCTCTCCGGGCGGCCGTGACCGGTCAGCGGACCGTGTCAGCAGGCCCGTGACATGTCAGCCGGCTGACAGGGGCCGTGACCCGGCTGACAGGCTCACCTGACCGGTCACGTGACACATCACGTGACCGAGACAAGACTTTTTTATATCGCAGATCCAAAAACCCATAGGACATTTCTCCCAGGGGGAAGAAAACCTCCCTTGACCCCCCTGTTTCTCGACGGATCCTGCCGGCCGGGCCCGTCAGTAGACCGACTGCAGCCTTCAGCCCCGCCTCAGACCCCCTGGAGGCCCGCCAGGAGGCTAAGTGTCCGGAGATTGGCCGGGGGCCTGATCTCTCCGGGCGGCCGTGACCGGTCAGCGGACCGTGTCAGCAGGCCCGTGACATGTCAGCCGGCTGACAGGGGCCGTGACCCGGCTGACAGGCTCACCTGACCGGTCACGTGACACATCACGTGACCGAGACAAGACTTTTTTTATATCGCAGATCCCATTAGGGAACATTTTTTCTTCCCCAGGGGGGAAGAAAAAACCTTCCCTATGACCCCCCCTGTTTCTAGGACGGATCCTGCCGGCCCGGGCCCGTCAGTAGACCGACTGCAGCCTTCAACCCCGCCTCAGACCCCCTGGAGGCCCGCCAGGAGGCTAAGTGTCCGGACATTGGCCGGGGGCCTGATCTCTCCGGGCGGCCGTGACCGGTCAGCGGACCGTGTCAGCAGGCCCGTGACATGTCAGCCGGCTGACAGGGGCCGTGACCCGGCTGACAGGCTCACCTGCGGTCACGTGACACACACGTGACCGA